GTGCTCCTAACTTAAAAAATTTAGGAGCACGTTCAAAATTTTAGGAGCACCTTCTAATCAATAATCCAAAATTGTATCAAAAATGTGCCTTCCATTACGAGGTGATATTTGACTCCTTAAAGTGATAAACAGTGGAATTTTGTTTTTACCTTTGTAATGGCATTTTTCTAACTTTATTAAAAGTTTGTCATCTTTTGTCAGATTCTTTAAAATTTATATTTTATAAGCTTTTTAAAAATTAATTCATAGAAATATTAAATGATTTAAATAACTGAAAAGATACTTTAAAAATTAAGCTGAAACTGCCAGCAGGTGGCGGCAAGTCACTAATTTTTATCACTGAATCATTCATTCAATTGATTAATTCGAACAGCTGAATCATTCAGGAATGAATCAATTGTCTTTATGAATGGGTAATCATGAATCACTGACTCACTAGACTCGTTCAGAAACACGCGTTCATTCATAAACGAAACACCGTTGTGTTTGAATGAAGACGCGCAGGCGGCTGAGCTGTGTCTTTGTTTTAAACTATTTTCGACGACGAAATAGAGCAAAATCAGATACAATTCAGATGTTATAGGCAGACAATGTAAGTCACTTAATATTAACTTCTTGTTTATCGAACTGTTGTATTAAATCAGTATCACATTTACAAACTCCTTTAAAATTCTTGTTTATTGCACTGTTGTATTAAATCAGTATCACATTTACAAACTCCCTTATAAATCATTAAAAGCTGTCACTCATCTTAGTTCATCGCGATCTCACATTTATAAGCAACGAAGCTCTCTACACAGCGCAATGAATCTCTTATTTACACCCGGTCTACACTTTGCTTATGAAAGGATTCATGAGATATGTCTGTGATACATTATTCCACGCTGCAAAAACACGTAGAAAACTTTGAAGCTCCCCTCAGCGCAATCAGAAGTATGATGATGATCGGGTCAGTCGCACTGGTGCTCCTAAAAGTTTTTTCATAGTCGCACGGATGATGATCATTTTTGGGTTAACTATCCCTTTAATGTTATGGCCTTCATGAATCATTTTTGCACAACATAGAAAGACGATTCCATTTTAGATTACCATCAACAGTTGATTACTTTTTGTTAACTTACTACTTACACTTAGATGCAATTGCTGTTGATCTTGGCCGTTTGTTTATTTTCTTTACTCTCAAACTGGAAATCTCATCTTCAGGGCCAAACGCAGCAGGGCAATAAATAGTATTTTATGTCAGTTAGAAAAATATGCTAGATGGTACTGTTCTGAATAATTTATTCCCACTGTTTAACCTTGCATTAAATAAAGAATACAGTGACATAATAATGATTTCACCTTGGGATGATTCACTGTCCTCAAGAACTGTAAAACAAAATTAGCATTTAAAGAAGATATAGATACAGACAACATAGACATATATATGCATTTTGGCTTTCCTTGATCATTCCAAATTCATTTGTTTTGCATGTATACTTACATTGTTTTGTCTGTGGTGTCTTTCTAGGTTTGGTGGGCTGAAGTTCTTCTTCTGCAAGAAACAAAAGTTACAACTGCAATTGTCTTTCAGTGTGAAAACTTTACCTTATTTACAGTGTCAGCACAGATTTTATACCTCTAAATCTTCTTGGTGGTATAATTTTTCGTGAACTATTTCCATCCGAGTCCTCAACATGGGAAGTTTCAACTGCTTTTTGGGCCCGATACCTTGCTAGGTTGTAACTGTCTGTTCTCAAAAATAGTACAAATTTAGTTTAATAAATCTTATATAAATAATTTATATTTTAGGAATGGTTGCTAGTAGTTGATGAGATTAAAAAAATAATCTTGGTATTATACTTTACCTGTGTCAGAAAATACTCTGACGGCATATTTTGTCCAGAGATGTTTGTCTGGAATGGCACATTTTATGACTTTGGTCCCAACATTTGAATTGGGCCAATAGCAGAACAGTACCTTTCAGACAGAGACAAGGATGCTTGCTTAATGTTTTCTACGTATATAGTTGACCTTGATTAATGTATATCATTTATGTTTTATAAAAACATATATGGACTAAATCCTACCCCATCGACCCTTTCGAGCCACGAAGATGGTGCCACCTCAACCTCATTTTGCTCAATGAAATTGAGTATTACATAGCGAAGATAAACCTGTAAGTGAAGTTTAGATAAATCTGTAAGTTCAGCTTGCAATACACAAATGAAACGTACACAATTACCTATTAATAGGCAATCATTGGTTACTTTCTCTAACCTTATACTTAATTTATGTTTACCAATGTTGGTTCTTGTTGTACTGGAACTAGGTTTTCAAAAAAGAATGGCACTGGAGAGCAAATCACCAGAAGACAGAAGAAAGCTGTAGGAGGCAGAAACTCATGGGGCAAATCTTCAGAAGGCAGAGGCCAAGGGGTGAAGCTGTAGAAGGCAGAGACTCAGGGGACAAAGCTTCAGGAGGCGGAGACTCAGGGGTGAAGCTTCAGGAGGCGGAGACTCAGGGGTGAAGCTTCAGGAGGCGGAGACTCAGGGGTGAAGCTTCAGGAGGCGGAGACTCAGGGGTGAAGCTTCAGGAGGCGGAGACTCAGGGGTGAAGCTTCAGGAGGCGGAGACTCAGGGGTGAAGCTGAAGGAGGCGGAGACTCAGGGGTGAAGCTGAAGGAGGCGGAGACTCAGGGGTGAAGCTGAAGGAGGCGGAGACTCAGGGGTGAAGCTGAAGGAGGCGGAGACTCAGGGGTGAAGCTGAAGGATGTAGAGACTCAGGGAGCAAAGGAATACTTCAAGTATGTAATTTCACCCAAATTGTCATTCTCTTGTCATTTTATTATTTTATTGTTATTTTTGGTGATTTTATTTTTTGTCACAACCTAGAAAGTATGAAGAATGGACACCACAATTTTGATCCTGTAGTTTTCCTCCACGATGAATGCCCTCCTCTGAAGGGACTTTCTTTCTAAGCAAAGCATTTGAGAATGTCTGATGTTAGCCATGTATGTTCCATAGAGGCGTGAATCACATGGTGTCGTCAGATATGGCTGTATATTTGTGTACACCCTGCATAACACTGTGTCGTCCGCTTGTTCTGACACCACCTCGCAAAATTGTTCAGGGCCTAACACAAAGGCATTGTTTGGGCACTTGAATGACATCAACTTTTCCTTGATTTCTATCTTGGACTTGGATGTTTCCTCAAGACGATTTGCAACTTGTGCCAAAACATTTTTTCCAGATCGAACCGATTTTTTCATTTGATGAAGATAGCTCTCGAACTTGAAAGCACTGAAGCTGTCAAGGCTGCCAAAGTTTTGGGCATCTTCTGCAAGGTGCAGCAAGGAATGGACATTGTACACCAAAAATGTTTCGCCATACAGCTCCCGTGCTCTCCCTACAAAATACTTAAGCAGCTGGTTTGCATAAGATCCGTGTGACTTTGTGAGGTCAGGATTCACCAAAATGCAAAGAGCCGTGCTGAAGCTCAAGAAGTGTTCATAGAGATGGTCTTGGAGAATTCCCTTTAGAACAATCTTCCCTGTGTAGATAGCAAACTGTCTGAACTCTGTTGCTTTCCAGCGATCTATTTCCTTCAAGCCCCTTGGCTTCCTGGCAAAGCAATCTGGAATGGACTTCTTTAGTGTCTCCAGCCTGTCACTTACACGGGTCACATCTCCTGATGACATCCGGAAATCTGTTCTCCCTCTTGTCCACAAGAGCAGCAGCTTTTTCATTACCCCGAGACAGCTCTGGTGCATATAATCTATGGGGAAGGATTTGATCATGTCGATCGGCAGGACAGAGAAGGGTGAGATCTCCTCTTCTTGATGGTGTTCAGGTTGCCAGCATTCCCTGAATGATTGATCTGTTCTCATGGTCAGGTTATTTGTTTCGGGATATGTCATCCGACCATTCCAAGATCCCCTCTGGTCGCATTTATCGCACCCATAGTATCCAGAAAACTGCTTTACACACTTTACCATAGCTTTAGCTGGAGCATCACAGGTAACACATCGTAGTTGGATGTTTAAGCGTCTCCCTCCCCAGGTAAGACCATTCTGGATTAGTTCTGCCAATTGCTGAACAGTGTCAGAGGCAAAGTTTGGTGTTTTGGGTTTGGAAGCAGCAGTGGATATGCACAGGGGGAAAATACATTCTGGAGACAAGTTTATGGAACAGAGAACTGGCCAGAGGGATACGTTTGAGCTTTTGAACATTGGCAGCCCATCAATGTTCAGGGAGAGATCAAGTGACTGCAGATGGTCTGTCACAGCTGCAGGATACCTGCTCAGATGTTTTGAGAGCTGATCTGCCACATTAAACTGTACACTCTCGACACCATATTTGGTAGTATGCTCATAATGGTTCGTGTGTCCAAAGAGCGTCCTTGCAGTATGGGGAAGGTCTTCATGCCCATGTCTTTTAAGGATGTTTAATAGAGCATCCACAGCATTATGTTTAACTTGAAACATACATGCCCATTCGGAAAGTTCTTCCCTGAGTGTGGTTGTAATATCTTGTTCGCTTTCAGAACTTAACAGGGCTGGATCTGAAAGTATGTTAAGATGATCTTCCTCAATGTGCTGGTTGTGATTAAGGCTGTCACTTTCAGCAATGCTGGCCTTCTCAATTGAACTGATAGTTTCTTCCTTCTTTTGCTTCTTTTGTGCCCTTGACACTCTAGCCCAGATTTTGTTGTACTGCCTCCTACACTCTTTCAAGCTACTGAAGCTACTGTACTGGTGTCTCTGCCAATAATTCAATAAATTAAAATTTTCAGTACACTTACAGATTTTATCTGTTTTTCTCAATCTAGCAGTATCAACCATATAACTTAATTTGGTACTTAACTTACCTTTGTTGAGGACATATTTGCCAGAAGCATAAAGGCTGAGAAAACAGAAATAAACAACATTACTATTTTTAGTGCCTTTGAAAGAAGTGTCTTATGCTCATCTAGCCTGCATTTATTTGTTCAGAAATACAGAAAAACAATAATATTGTGAATATTATTACAATTAAAAATAATGGTTTTCTATTTTAATATGCTTTAAAATATAATGTTAATTAAAAAGTGAATTCTATTTTGAATAAATTCTGTTCTTTTAAACTTTTTTTTCATCAAAGAATCCTGAAAGAATTATCACAGTGTCCAAAAAAAATTATTTATATATATATATATAAAATAAATAATAATAATACACTGTCTACACCCAACTATGACCATAGGAACAAGTTCATGAACCACATCTTTCTTCAAACAGGTGAAGTGAATTAGGTGAAGTAGTATTGTGATTTGACCCAAAAGCTACTTTCACTGTCGCGTCTATTGTTTTTGAGGTCCCCTTAAATAAGGACTTTTTCAGTGTGTTTGCCTGATATTCAACACTAGAATCCGTTTTTGATTAAACTCCAGTGCAATAGGTGGCGGTATGCATAGTGCTGCCCCTCCGTTAACAGGAGAACAGGAGGTTGGTCTATTTCCGCCTTTGAATATGCGCACAGAATGGCTAGCAGACGCATCGCTGGAAGACAGAGAGAAAGCCCTATAAAAGGTAAGATTTTACCGTAATTTAAACGTTGACGTGTTTATTGTGATTGCAGTACATGTTAGCTTTTCTGTTATTCGACAGATTGCGCATCGTAAGCAAGTGATTGCAATGATGTCCTTCAAGTCGCACAGCTGCGCTGTGTAATTTAATTTGTCTCGCGCACGGCACGCGCAGCTTTTAGCTATGAATGTAAAGTTAATATATTAATACATTTACTTACCAGAAATGTAACTGTGTGTGTCCAGTTGTCGCGGAGACAGCGGTGTACCTGCGACGTATTAAATTAAACGCTAAAACTGAATACTAGAAATAACTTAACCTACGATGTGGATTAACATTACACGACGCGA